ACGTGAATATATTTCGATGATGTAAGCATTGGCTGATAAAGAGAGATGGAGATAGTGAGTTGGATGAAGAATTTTGTTACAAGTAACAACATTTTTCTAAGTAGGGAGGGATGAAGCAACTTGAAATTTTTGAGGAAATTTTACGAATTGCTTCAAGAGTTTTAGTATTTAAAAATTACATATAATAAAATCTTAAGGGTTTTTAATATAAGCAAGTAGGCAAAGATAGATATAAAAAGAAAAAGAGGCGACAAAAGGACGCCTGTGTTACGAAATATCCCTTGAGAATTAATAAACAGGAACTTGGTTGTGTAAGAGGCGTTGCCTAGAAATAAGTAGCAAGACATGTGCAGTACTTAAAATAAGTTTAAGAGGCGAGCTCGGAAACCAGTGACCAAGGTCAGCAGCAGAGTTAGTAAGAACTGCTGTATAGAAAAAGGATGTAGACACCAGTACATGTGACAGTTTGATGAAGTGCTGACCTCGCTCTCTTAGCACTAGGAGAGCTGCAGAAAAGTTTAGATTTGGTGAATCATATCGGCACTTTGAGGTGGTATTAGTTACAGCACATGGGTGTAGCAGTAAAAGTGAATAGGCGGATGGCTAACACCACTTATCTATGACCAATTACTTGAGAGTTTTGGTTTAGGTTCTGGTTTAGCCCGGGAATTCCCCTAAAGTACCCAATAGGAGCACAGGACTACTTGCGGGTGATGCTGTGTTCTATTTAGTGGGTTGAATTAACACAAGGAAAATAGAGTTTAAAAACCCATGTCAGAGGCTGAAAAATATGTTCTCTGCCGAAGTTCTCTCAAGGAAGAAATTCTCCAAACCAAAAATGAAAGTAAAGTTTACCACCATAGCCATGGCTTCTAAAACTCCAACTCTACTGTAAGTATAGTCTCTCTCTCTCTTGATCAGCTAGTGTAGAAAATAGTAAACGTTATAGTAAAGTTTTTTATAAGCAATAATTTGATAAACTAATATTTTAAGTTTGTGATGCTTTATAAGAATTAACGAATGTTAAATAAATATTATTTTGAGTGTTTACTCTTGGCCTGAGACTCATTTTCTTTAGTCAAACTGTAAACTCTTCGAGTTAGCGACTTGTGGCTCCACTCGTCAAGACAAATCCTCCAATTATTAAATTTGGTGTAAAGTGTAGTTTTAAATGAAATTCCAACAATTAAGCTCACCTGAGCGCTACCTTTTACACATGCCTTCCGTTATATCATTGTTCTTTTTTAACTTTAAAAGTAGGTTATTCAGTTGTTTTCCATAACATTCATTAAGGTTTGTGGTTAGTTCTCTAAATTTGGTTGAATCATTTAGATGTTCCATTAAGTAGTTGTAATATACTTACAGTTTTCCCACCCTTATCAGCCTTTACAATAATAATTTGTGGGTTATTTCGTAGTTCTTTAAGGGCTGATATTTGGCGTTTTGTGATGTTTTATTTAATTTTATGGTTTTCAATAAATTCTACATGAAATTTCATGAGTGAAATCCTATAGGTTTTGGTTGTCTTTGGGTATTTTAGGGAACCACATTCTGTTATTTTTTTTTGTCTTGAAATATCTTAGTGCTCTCTTCGTCGGTTTTCATTTCTTGATTTTCGATATTATCATTAATTTCAGTGGATGTGTGACTTTTATTTGTTGTATTAGTTCTTTGTTTATCTTTGATTGATTGTTGCACTAATCTTCTAGTTAAATCCTCTATTCCAGTTTTGATTCCTAAGGCGGGAACATTTTTTTGTGTCATTGCATATTTTATGCCCTTGTTTAAAATTTCTTCTTGCGTTAGTGTTAGGGTTGTTTTTGATAAGTTAACTATAATAGTGGCTTTATTTTATGTTGTTGTTTTTATAGTCTATCTGATTAATTTCTTTGATTAATTCAAATATTCTTTTTAGTATTTCTAGTCTCTTTGGTTTATCCAGTTTCGGTTGATGACTCCAAAGAGCAAACATGAGTCATTCGACGTAGTACGGAAGGTCGCGTAGTCGTGAATCTTCTTTTCTCAAGTTGTTGATGTTTCTGTATTTGTGTTGCGTTTAGGATTTTCTTTTCTGCATTTCCGATGATGGCTTGAATTTTGGGATTTTATGGTTGATTGTTTAATTTTGTAAATTTAGGCATAATTTCTTCATTTTTGAATCTCTTGAGAAATTTAAGGCTACAAATGGTTTTTTCTAACTTTACATAGTTTTTTGTGTTTTGGTGAATAGATCTTTTGTTGTTATGCCATATTTTATGGCCAGATTTGTTGTTAAAAACATTTTATTTGAGAAGGATATCATTTGAAGTTCAGCTTTTATATAGTAGGATTACTTTCAGTGGTAGACGTTATACGGTAGGTTTCACAGGGTTATTGTTCTAGGAGAACATTTCGAATCATGAGAAATATACTTTATTGTCTATTGTCTTTACGATATCCGAGGAGTTAGATTTGTTTGTGAATACAGTAAGATGATGGATATTATGTTGATATCATAACTGTGAGTTTCTTGTATTGCCTTTTTTTCTTTTGTGAAATTAATACTGTTGAAGCACAAATGTTTAAGAACGTTTACTCAAAATGCTCGAGTAAATTACTAATAATTAACACTAAATCATAAGTTTACCTGATGATGGCCACACAAGTGGTCGAAACCTTGTAATAAATTTTCTAAAAACAAAATAATCCACTCAACAGCTGTCCTCAAAGTTTTATTTTTTAAAGGTTCTGTTTTACCAACAACACAAAATTTTGTTATGGAATTTAAGGAATAGGATAAAACAAATCTTATTGATATATCATATTACATGGAAGAATATAGACATAATTTGAAAACATAATTGATATAATTTGAAAACCTTTTCCAGTATTTAGAATAATAATATATTAAGTTTCTTTGTAATTAAGCACAAAGCTACACAATGGGCTATCTGTGCTCTGCCCACTACAGGTATCGAAACCCGGATTCTAGCGTTGTAAGTCCGCAGACATACTGCTGTGCCACTGGGGGGCAATATATTAAGTGGCTATTTAAATATGCCATACATAATATAAATATATATATATATTTTACTGAAGCACAAGGATTTCAGTATTTACAATTAGGAAATGTCACTAGATAATATTTCATAAAGAATTCAAGCTTAGCAATAAAATATCTAAATAAGTACTGCATTTAACAAATGGTTTTCACATTCATATACCTTATATTTCAGGATTTACTTCTTTATTTTTTGGTTCTCTTGGATTATGCTCTGGATCAGAAATGTTAAAAATTTCTGTCACTTTTACTCGCATTTTCTCATCCATGTAATAGAAAGCCATCAGAGCTTCATGTTTCGAAGTCGTTTCTAAAATGTGTTCAAAATCATCAGCATACTGTGGATCAATACTGCCTTGGTATTTAGTCAGGTCCCAGTTTAAGGCTTTATTTGTAATATCAATAGCATTTAACTCACTGTGATCACTACCGAAAGACTTAAAGGCATCCATAACGTTTCGCCGTTTATTATTGGATGTCTTAACGGTGTTTCCCAGATTTACTGTAAAGCCCAAGTTCATAGTGCTGATTACTCTTTCTGGGATGTACATGTCTGTTGCAATGGACTGCCTTCTCTGGATCTTTAGAGGTGAAGGGTCACCCTCCTGTCCTGCAAATGACTTTCTTTTAGCACGACTGAATTCAGTAGGCCTCTTCGGGGTTACACCATACTCATGTGTATCTTTATCTCTAGTATAGTCGTACTCAGTGACAGCAAGCTGACATGAAAATCTTAAAAATAAAACAAATTAAAATTATTTATAGAAAATGAACTCTTCATCGCAAACATTCATATATTTGTAAATGCACAAAAACTGCTATTAATTCATTGCTGTAAACTTCAATACTAAGTGTGATCATATCAGAGTCTGCCCACAGGACTTGGATGTCAGCAGGATATATTAAAATAAAACATCTAGGCTAAACAACAGAGATGTGTGTGGTGCACATAACATACTTGGTGTTAACTGTTTGTACGTAAATTAGACAACAGGTACAGCATACACAAAGTGGATAATATATAAAACAACGGGGCAGTGCAAATCCAGAAACATACGCAATGAAAATAGTGATTATTAAACAATATGCAGCAGTGGAAACACTTACCCATATACTTTGGTTAGTATATTAAACAACATATGCAGTGGGAATGTAATTCAGAAACAAAGTGATAACGACTCCAAAATAAATAATATATTGAATTTGAATCAATATTAACTGAGGAGCTTCACCATCCAATTCAAAACGAGCAGACTTTAGTAGGAGGATGTTGTAGCAAATGATGGGCTAGAAGATGACAAATATTCACACAGTGGTGGAAATGAAGGTCCAAGGAGTGCATCCTCTGTGTGAAAACCATCAGGAATTAGCCATGAAAAACAGAAAAAGCCCCTGTGGGACCCAAATGCCTTCTATAAAGTGAGCCCACAGGTCGATGAAGTTTAAAAACCAGACTCCCACAGGACTAGAGTTAAAAAGCAGTTCCTAAAACAACTGATCTCTAAGCCTCATGATGAGAAGTTTGTCAAGAAGTGGGAACCACTAGGGAACCAAAAGATGATACATTTCTCCAAAAAATCCTCTCCATGAAAGAAGAGCACCAAAAAGAGTTCACTGAGGTAAAACTAAAGAATTATAACTCCCAAAAATAAGGCATACTCACAATGAAAATCCCAAAAACAAAAAAAATCAAGTGAATGGACAACTTCTGAAGAAGTCAGGAGAGCATGAGGAACAGATTGGTGTGACCATCCCTACTAAAGCTGTCAAGACTGGGATTCAGAGCCTCAGAAGGAAAGGGTAAAGAGGAGAGCTAGCTAAGAAGGAGAGCAAATAAAAACAAAGCAAAAATTAGAAGATTGAAGGTAAAGAGAGTCAAAGTAGGAGAAGAGGATCCCCAAGCTGTGAGAAAAGATTCAAAAGATTGGAGCTCTAGAAAATAGGAAGAATTCAGAACACCTGATAGCAGAGAAGTTTGAAGTTCGAAGAGGTCATGGCAACTGAGAGTCAACATGAAGCTGAGAAAGAAAGAAAACATTAGGGTTGAGTTGCATGCAAGAACCAGCAGAAACAACTGAGTTATCAGAACAGCAAAGATCAAAGTGGGTGTTACCTGATCCTCATTAGGGAAAGAACAAGAAATAAAGGCAGATTGTGGGAAGAGCTGGTTGAAGTTTTCCAAAGATAAGGCAGGCTTAGCAGAAGAAGAAAGCTGTAAGTCCTACAAATAATGTAGTATAAAACCAACTATTTGATGCACAATAGTGGAAACGTTATTCACTACAGAGTACATTCAGTTGCTATTCAAGGAAAATAAGATCTTACGAGGTTTCAGGAATGTGGATAAGAGAAACCAATATTGGATAAGATCCACAAAACTGAATTCATTTAAAGTATAAATGTCATTACAATTTCTACATTTTATTATATGCTTTCTACTCGTATAGATGACAAGGGATAAATGCTGATCACACCATTTCTGACAACAAATGAATGCCTTTCAACACACCTGACAATTTTTTTGTCTGTTATATTTGGTCATTTTCATTTTGTTGAAATTGAGATTAAATGCCAAACCCCTAACATCAAGTTAATGACAATGAGGAATAGTCCTGTCAATGAAACCATATCAAAGACTGGAACACATGTTCCAAAATCTTGTAGCTTGATTGAAAGAAACCCAAGTAATATAACAAAAGACAATAATTTGTATGAGAATCTAACTGAAATTCAATTTCAACACTTGTATCTTTCTTTAAATAAAGAAAGAAAATGAAGTGAAAAAATAATTTGAATGTTAAATGAAAATTAAAATAATAAGCACAAAAAGTCCATAATTCACAATGAAAAAGAACATGACTGATCACTGCAGTGCTGAGGAATATAAATGAGTTTCAGTATACACTAAGTACTCAGGAGGAGAATTGTATATTGTCATGATATAAAAGACTGTTTAGTTTAAATATTATTAATTCATTTATTTTGTGAGTGAATATTTTATGATTGTTAAGTTTTTGTTATAATCATCGTTAAAAACAGATGATTGTTGGAAGTTGTGTTTATAATTCATTGATATTGAGACTATCGAATGTCATGTGCAATACATTAACGTCGAGAATATAGAGATTTCTAGAAGGTGGGCAGACGATTAAGTGATATATATATATATATATAAGTAGTGTGAGACGAGCAGCAACAGCAGACAGACAATAGCAGAAGAGAATAAAGTTACAGGCAAGGAAAAGTTTGGCATGAAACTAACTACTGCAGAAGTGATAGGCCCAACGACTGACACAGGCCTAATGTTTAATATGTTATAGTAAGAATAACAGTAGAAAATGAGATAAGAAGTATAGTTTATTCTATCAAAGCGTGGTTCTAAAGTAATTGCATTAACCTAAGTGTGCTTTGACAAAAAGAACAGAGGATATTGTTACGACATCGAGGTCACGTGACTAGTATCACGCCACGTCATTCTCG